CAAAGAAATCCAAATATTATGTTATATAACACCTAACACAAGACACAAAAACAAGAATCTATAAAGCGGCAATTAGACCTATATTAACATACACGGCGGAAACAAGACCTGACACATCTAAAACGAGACGACTACCTGAAACAACAGAGATGAAAATACTCCGACGAATATCAGGGAGAAGTCTATTGGATAGGGAGAGGAGCGAAAACATAAGAAGAACATGCAATATAGAAGACATAAATGGATGGGTGACAAAACGAAAACATCAGTGTGGAATGAAAACACAAGAGTGGAACGAACACATCAGTAGAATGGCAGAGGATAGAATAGTACGAATAGCACGAGATAAGTCACCAAATGGACGAAAAAGTATTTGCAAACCAAGAAAAAGATGTTACGACAATTTAAACAATTTAGGAGGCTAATATTGAAGAAGAAACAGGCTTTAAAGCATACATACTAGAAGGAAGAAGAATAAGATCAATATCTTCTACATCAGAAACTTTCTAATCTAATCTCGGCCGCAAATAAACCACATTAAGTGAGTGAAATAAACAAATGCACTACTATATAAACGCATTCACGTGATAATAGTTTAGCTTACTTCATTTTAATTTATATGAACTTCATAATATATTTTCATATTTTTATAAACAAATAAACACAAGGAAACTTTCAAATTAAGTAAAAAAAAACAAATATAACGTTTATAGCACACAGCAATTCTATAAATAGAGCATGATGTTTAATTAAAATTGCAGATTGTTTTTAGTCTAATGAAAAAAAAATAAGAATTTTCCAAAGTTTTCTGTTTTTTGAAGTTCTGTATTAGATAATCTCTAATAAAAATAAAATTTTACTTTATTTTGTTAGACAACTATAAGATGTCTGTTAAAAGACACATGATAATTTATAAATCTGCCTTAGATTTAATTTTTACGTAAGTACTTATGTGTTTAAATAAATAATTAAATTTTTTTGGTACGCCTCTACGAAATTGATAAGTGGAATACGATTTCGTTAAAAAGTTATCGTTAAGTGCGATGTTGCCAAGTAATTACCTTCAATTAAAAATTGTTTTAGTATAGTGTTATGTACAATTTTATGTTTACGATATTCTGCAATTGTTAAATAGCCCAAAATTGACGAAATGCCCCTGAAGATGCTCTAGGACCGAAAGTACTTGGGCAAGATTTAATTAATAAAACTGTGCTCGATATCTGCCTTTCATTTTATTAAAGTTCATTTATTCGAACATTCAACCTTATATCAATTTATTTATTTATCAACGGGCAATCATCCAATTAAAATAAAATGTAAATATTATTCATAAATTACAGAAGATTCTTAGCGTAACCTACTTAAATTAAATTTAAAAATTTTAATCATACAAAAAATAAAAGTAGGAACAGTAAATAACAAACATTAACAAAGAATGTACTAAACACAATGACATCAAGCTATCACACACAGTTCTTAAGCTGAGCTTTAAATTCATTTGGAGTACTATAACAATCTAACCTTTGAGAATGATTAGCAAACCTTGGTGTTCTAGACGTGAAGGAATTGTGTCCGTAGTTTGTGCGATGGGGTCTAACATAAAAGGGTTCATTTGTAATATGGAGAATAATTTTTTAATAATAGTTGAGGACCAAAAATAATGAGTGCAGTATACTATAAAACATAGTGAGATCTTTGTACATGCGTCGGATTTGGAGAGAAGTTACGTTAAGGAACCTTTCCATATTTGAATAGTTAATTTCTTCAATCCTCTGGTATTGTTTAAATGCAACAAATCTTAAGAATTTGTGTTGCTCTCTCTTAATAGCTTGAATATGGGTGTTATAGTGAGGAGACCAAACACATGAACAGTAATCTAGGTTGGGTCTCACAAATGAACAATACCAAATTTTTATGGATGGGATATGTAGAAAGTCTTTGACACAACGTTTGATAAACCCTAAAAGTTGAAGTGATTTTGAGACAACAGATGAGATATGGGGGATGTAGGATAAGCTGAAATCAAGCACAACACCTAGGTCTTTTATCTGAGATAAAGAGTCTAAAGGGCAACCATTAATATTATAGATATGATTTGTAGCAGTTTTATTCCGACCAAAAACCATTAAATGACAATGTTTAACATTAAGTTCCATTATGTTGCTGTCACACCAATAGCTCAACCGATCCAAATCAGACTGTAGTCACCATCATTCTCAATTTTCAAATATAATTTTAAATCGTCAGCAAACATTAGGAAAGAAGCAAAGAGGAAACATGAGGCAATGTTATTAGTTATTGAATAGAAGAGGTCCTAGGTGTGATCCTTGTGGTACTCCTGAAAGTACCTTAATCTCAAACAGTTGAAAAGCCTGAACACATACTATTTGTATTCTTTCAGTTAGGTAGGATAACACCATTCTAAAAGTTCACCCTGAACACCCAGACTCCTCAACTTGTTGATTAAAATCTTGTGATTTACCCGGTCACGCGCATTTGTAAAGTCTGTGTATACAGCAATAACTTGGAAGAAATCTTCAAGAGATTATATAAGGAAATCAGTAAATGTCCATAAATTAAGTTCAGTGGAGCAGCTAGAGGGAAATCCAAATTGCTGGTCGATAAAACAGACTTTTAAAGTTGCTGACAAATAGTCACAGACAAGGCTCTCAAAATCTTTGGGAATACAACTTAGAATGCTAATAGGCCGATAATTTTTCACTTGAGAATTATCTCCAGATCTTAGTATTGAAGTAATAAAGCTAGTTTTTAAGTAGACTGGGAAAATCCCTGTATTTAATAACAGGTTAAAAATGTGGGAAAGAGATCTAGAAAGTAAAAAGCTAAAGTGTTTAAGAAAAGAAGGTGGAAGACCATGTGGACCTGGACTGTTGCTATACAAAATGGAAAGTTTTTCATATATAGACGAAATAGAAATGCTAAATTATAAGGGTGATGTCTCGTGTTAAAAAGGTTTCATCCTGCAAATCAAAATCTTTATCACTATAAGTTTTGGAAAAGTATTCAGCAAATAAATTGACAATCTCCATGCCAGAAATATTATTGTAGTGTATAACAGAAGGAATATTATTCCTGTTTTTTTTACTGTTAACAAATTTCCAGAAATTTTTAACATCAGCCTAAGTTTATATGAGTTATAAAATTTGTCTGCCTTCTCTATTGCAGGTGTGCAATATCATTTCAGTGCAAATATCTGAATATTCTAAGAAATCTTTATAGGGACATATTTTTTCTAATATTCTGACAGAACAAAAATTTGAATTAACGACCAATAAAGTCATAAACTAGTAAAATTTTTAAATCCTATAATAATTAACCATTTGAAAAAGGCTTTTACATCTGCTAATGTGAGATCCAGTACCAAATTATTTTGAACAACATTTTGTTTAGATTCTCTTATAATTATCTCAATCAAGTAAATCCATCCCAAGAAATGTTATAAAATTTTCTAATGTTTGAATGGCTTATAGACATTATATGCCTAGAGTTTCCTCAAATCGAACAGAAAGGGAGAGAGAGAAATTTATTATTTTTAAAACGAGTTTACATTTATAAAACACAACATGGTATAATGCAAACAAGGCACAAGTTACTTTAAAATACTAATTATAAAATTTCCATAATTAAAAAAAAACATCAATTAGCGCAACTGTTATCAAAAAATTCCCTCTATACTATAGTAACATTTAGATAATAAAAACTTCTTGATTGCTCTTCGGAATACAAAAATATTGCTTGAGGATCTTATACGAGTGGTAGGTGATTAAACACTTTCTTACCAGTGTAAATAAATGATTTTTTAATTAATGTAGAAGAGGGAATTGGAATAACATACTTTAGACAAGTGTTATAAGGGGAAACTGTCCAAATATACTCTTTATGTTTTTTAAAAATTAAGCATGCTAATTCAAGGATATACATGCAAGTAAGGGTCAAGATACCATGTTTCCGGAACAAAGGCTACCCCAAAAGGCAATACTGTATCTCAAATTAGATTCAATCAGGGCCACGTAAACACTTTTTGCAATCTTGAAATCTAAATGGTGAGCAAGATTTTAGACAGCAAAGCAACCCGATGATATCTTTTTGCTTAAACATACAGTGTGTTGCTCAAATCTAAGTTTATTATTGATATGAATCCTAAAAATTTGTTTACAGTGTCAGAACAAATGCCTTATTGCCCAGAGTAATGTTATTTAAATCATTCTTAAAAGAAATTAATTTAGTTTTTGAAAAATTAAATGTCAAATGATTAGCTTTGCACCACTCTAAGATTTTAAGCATATCACTACTAATAATATTGTTCAGTACCTTAGAGTCTTTGTTTTGCCATGAAATTATGGTGTCATCTGCAAATATAATAAACCGGCCATTAATGACTTGGTTAGTTATGTCTTTAAAATATATCAAGAAAAAGATAGGATCTAAAACAGAGCCTTGATGTACTCCACAATGAATAACGATATTACTAGAGTAGTGTCTCTAAAACCATATATTTCCAGTTTATTAAGAAGTATTTTGTGATTGACACAGTCAAAGGCTTTAGATAGATCACAGAAAACTGTGGTAGCAACATAATCGTTATTTAAGTCCAAATATAGTTTTTCCATGAATTCGAAGATGGCATCATATGTACTTTTTAATGACTGAAAACTGAATTGGAAGGAAGAAAGTAAATTTTGTTTTTGTAAAAAAAGTCATCATTTGGATTGTTACCAATTTTTTCTACAACCTTTAAAAGCAACAGTAACAAAGAGAACAGCTTTATAGATATGAGGAAGGTTTGCATTTTTTGTCAAAGGATTTGCTCTTTCCGATTTCTTTTGATCATTATTAGTTTTGAACTTTTTTTAACTTCATAATTTTGATTTTCTACATATTATTATGTTGCTGGTTTAGTTTGACTAGGAAGTAAAGAGTCATATTTTTTATGAAAACTTTTTATCATATTTAATAAAGTTCCTATAAAAATAAACAGGTGGTTTTGACTTCTTTATTATTTTAACAAATATATTTACATCCCTTATATCTGGTGGGCAGTGATGATCAATAAAAAAATTGAATCCCAAAGTACACATTACTAACTAGTGTTATCTTTAAACCACATTTGTAACCAAACACAAATCCTATTAATATTGTCCTGCAATTCTTCGGTAGTCCTACTGTACAATTCATGCACTATTTCTTCTTTATATGATGCTTTTGCCTCTTCCAATATAGTTTGGAAAATTTCACACTGCACATTATCCTCTAACTTTTTTCCTGTGTAGCCTCTTGTGATTAACCTGTCATAAAGCACTGTGTTGTCTGCTCTTAATACAAATACTACATCAAACCATCTTTCTGGAAAAAATTCACAGCTGTGGTAGTCTACTATGTTCCCTCCTTTGCTCATTACTTCTTCCAGTCCATCAAGTAACTTATCTTCATCTAAAAATAACATAAACAATAAAGTTAAGCATAATTAGATTAAAACGTTTGCATTATAATAAATAAAAACAATAGTAAAGCATGAATATAAACAATTGATTGTTATTATCAAAATAATAATAGATTCTGTTGAAAACTAGATTTGATCATAACGTACATAGTAAATTAATATGTATATTTGACCCATTCTCTTAATTATGTATTTCAATACCTAAAACTGGACACTGATACACTTCATCAAATTCTTCTAAGCAGTTGTAATCTTTTGCTATTTTTGATATTTCTAACCATTGTAATCCTGTAACTTCTGCCAATTGTGAACATAATGTCGACTTTCCAACTCCTGGAGTTCCTGTTACTAATATATTTGGAGCGTTTCGTTTAATATTCGGCACTGTTTGTGCCATTTTAATAAAATTATTTGCTTTTGTGTACTACACGTTTTGTTTTGTCGTCATGTCATAACCTCATTTTATTACGATGACATTTCTCGAACCGAATTATTTTAATCGATTGTTGAATGTTGTCAGTGTCTCAATTGCCGGTGCCGGATTTTACGTCGAATATCTGGCAGTGTCTACATTGACGCTATTGTTACAGTAGACAATTTTTTAATGTATTTGTATTTATTTATATAATTATAATGAAACTATTATTGTAATAATAATTATTTTTTAGAGAATTAAATATAATGGTTGCCAATCAGTTGTCGGAGCAAGTTACCGACGAGGTTTATGAAGCGTTAATGAGAAGTTATAAGATTTTAGTGGGTGATGCAAGTGCAATAAGAATCGACTCACCTCCGAGGAGATCTAGGTTAAGTAGTTCTGATAGTTCTCGACATGGTGCCAGTGATATTTCTATTACGGACAGTAGTCATCAATCAGATTTGTCTCCTTTGGTAAGCTGTTTATTATTAGTGTTTTATCTGGAATTAAGTTTACGGATAGTGTGTATTTAGGCACAATTGTACATTTATTGTGAATGATTACAAATTTGCCTTTATTTCTTATGTTTTAAAAATCAAAATTGAAATAAAGTCAGATGTTGAATGTATACAGGGTCGATTAAAATTAAAAAGTGTCTACAAATTTAAATTTATATATTGTAATATAAATGTTTCTTAAAATAATAAGTAATTTTTAACTAATTTTGTTACGCAGAAGCTGGAATATTTGAATTTAGTAAGTATATGATGAACCAGATAAGTGTTGAAGTTGTTTTAGTAGATATTTTTGTATTCATTTCTTTTTATTGGCGAGTTTTATATCTTTTGCTCAATTTTCACATTTTTTTATTTATAATGTTCACGTTTTATTCAAAACGTTTATTATTTTCCTGTGTTGTAGATTATAATTACTGGTCTAACGAATCTTTGCACATGCGCCATAATTCAATTTTTATGAATTAATTCAATGCAATTTTTATGAATTAATTCATTTCTTGTACTCTGTACGAGTACAAGAAACCAATTCGCTCAGGATTGTTGCTTAGTTGATGAGATATGTCGTGGAATGCAAATTTTAGATTCCCCATGTCTCTAATAACATCTTTATCAACGTCTGTTTTGTCTTGCAATTCTTAGAAGGCACAAATTAAAGCAAAAATCTGAATTTGGTTTCGAAAATTACTTTACGGATTTTAATATCAGATGTCGCTATTTGCGTCTATACGAATCCATGTTAGAGTTGGTTCCGAAGACAGAAAAGATCTATTTTCACGTTCAGAACGACTGTGAATAGCTGTTCTGACGAGCCTTATTAGGGCGAAATACTTATAAGCAGATACACAGACGCAGTATTCGCTCCGTGCGTGACTGATGCAACACCTACTGCCTTCATCTGACAATTTTGGAGTCCCAATTTTCAGGTTAAATATATGACATACGTTTGACATTGTTAAATACATGCGAAATTGACAATTATTAATACATTAGTTTTTTAACTATATTTTTTCAGTTTAAGTACAAAATAAATGTAGTATTAAAAACTGAGTTTCTCAAAATTCATCATAATATATCTTTTCAACTCCAAACGGAAAAGAAAGGGAAAAATCTAGTACTGGCAAATCAAGTTTTTCACGCAAAAGAGCATATAATTAAAAGCAATAATAGTAAAAGTTATGATATAAAAGCTAAAGTCATCTGCAGTTAGATTGAAGCCTTATGAAATATCATTCAAGGTAAATTATTTAAATTTTTCCTATTTCAATTGCATATAAATGAAATTATGTGATATTTACTTTTTCTTTACCCTAATTTATATGTAATCTTTGGGAACCTATAAAAACTACACTCACTGTTTTTGCTATTATTAGCAGAATTAAATAGGCAACATGTATTTGCACACATTTTTGATAAAACTTATGCGCAAAAATATTTTGTCCAATATTCCAATTTTGTCATATTTCGCCGCTACGCACGCTGGCATCGTTTCAATGTACCCCTACCATGGTCACGCACGGAGCGATAATCTTGACTGTCCTTTTCTTTTTTTTTTATTCATTTCAGTTTTTAGTTTTAGGTTTTAGTCATATGTATGTAGTGGATATGAGAATTAAGAAATGTCAAATTAGTTAAATATGTGATAGTATTCTTGTTAATTGGTTATAAATATGAATTAACCCCACGAATTAAAACTAATATGTAATTATTTTTCAAGAAAAGTATAAGTTTAAGTCACCAAAATTAATATAAACTTTAACTAAGACGAAAACTATCTTTGTTTCAAGTTAAGAAAATAACATTACGCTTATGGAAATCAATGTTGCCAAAACTCTCAGACACTCTCTTTTGCACGGATGTCCAAGATATTCCCTTTGCTTAATTTTTGAATTTTCATTTTCAATTAACATTTAACTGTAAAGTCAAAATAACTACTAAATAAAAGCCTTATTATCATTATGTAGTCAGTGAACGACATAAAATAGCTGACATACGCACATCGTATTATTTTAAGTTGCAATTAGTAATTAGATATACGCATTCCAAGCGGTCAATATTTTCTACTGATTTCTATGATTCATGGCTCACCGAAAAACAAATAAACTGTCGTTACTATAATTAAAATAAGATAAAATAAAATAATCTTTTGTAAATACTATTTATCTAATTAAAATCATTTTCCCTACTTTTCATCTCTTGTTTCGAATGGGCACTTTTGGTCAATTACGTTAAAATACATTAATTTAATTCTTGTTTGTGGAAACGAAAATACAAATTATACAACCCTAAATTGTGCTTAGGTGTGTCGTGGCAGCGCCGCGTTGCTATCGTCCATAAGAAATACATGGCCCTATCTCCGCAATGTTATTTTCTAAACGTGGAACGTAGTATAGTTATAAATATGACCGCTGTCGTTTTGACGTTGTCAAAACTCGAAATTATCTGGATAAGCACTGCCTTTTTGTAATAAAATCATAGGTACATGTGCAAAGAACGAATTGACGTATCTATTTGTATTTGTTTTGTATACTACGCACTGTTGGAACATATAATAACCAATAAATAGTAATGTTTCTCAATGGCAACTTTGAAATGTAGGGATTACGTCTTAGTGAGAGCGCCCACTGAAGTGGCGTGGCAAGTAGCAAGTAGCACGCGTGTAACATGTTACTTAAGTGAGAGTGCCCACCAAACTGGCGTGGCACGTGGCAAGTAGCAAGAAGCACGCGTCTAGCATGTTACTTATAATGTAACCAATGAAAACGAATGATTCAACGCACACCAAAATGACAATGACGTCATTCATCTAATCATTCATTTGCATTGGTTACATTTTATGTAACATGCTAGATGCATGCTACTTGCTACTTGTCACGTGCCACGCCACTTTGGTGGGCGCTCGCCCTAAAATGTAACCAATGAAAACGAATGATTAGAATGAATGTCGTCACTGTCATTTTGGTGTGCGCTTACATTTTAAATAACATACTAGATGCGTGCTACTTGCTACTTGCCACGCCAGTTTGGTGGGCGCTTTCCCTTATCTAACACTGTAGACTCAAACTGAAAAATCCGTATAAACAATAAGAGGAAAAACTTTTATGGGGAATATAACACAAGAATATAATATAATACTAATAATAATAAACTTACATGTGACGACTGCCGAAGCTCAGAAACTTCATAATACCATTCAAGAAATGATCAGACTTGGAGTAGGTATAATGGGCATAAGCAAAATGAGGTGGACAAATAGTGGTGCTTATATTGTTGACAACCATATGGTAAACCACTCGGGAAATGATGACGGTCAACATATCTATGGAGTTGGAGTAATTGTATATCTTCAATTACGTCAATATGTTACAAATGTTATACGTTTCTGAAAGATTAATAATAATCCAACTGAATACTACTTCGGACAAATTAAATGTTTTACAAGTGTATGCCCCAACAAGCGATAAACCAGAAGAAGAGGTAGAGCAATTCTATGAGTTGTTGATAAATTCACTTAAACAAATTAATAAAGAAGATATAACAACTATTATTAGGGGTGACTTAATGCGAAAATTGGTAAAGGGAAAAGCGGTGAATTCAGTGGTGATTTTGGTCTAGGGAAGATAAATGAAAGGGGAGAAAGATTAAACTATTTGTAGAGGAATTGCAATACTAAATACGTTCTTCAAACTTTCACCTAGACTTTTTATACTTGGGTCTCCCCGCAAGATCAACCAGGAAACATAATAAGGAATTAAATTGATTACATAATGGTGAACATATTCCAGTTATTGGTAAATTTAGGTATAGATGTAAAAAGGTTACAAAAAAGAATAGTAACAAAAAATGTGGTATGAGAATACTAAAAGATAAGGAAACAAAGGAGACAGTCACACGGATGCAAAAACTTAGTAACATGGAGCAAACATATGATCCAGAAGAATCACTCCAGAATATATGTGAAACCTTTAACAAGATAAGAGAAGAACATCTAATAGAAAATAAAGAGAAAAGGAAAAGTTGGATAATTGGCAATATTTTGCAACTCATGGAAGAAAGAAAAAATCAAAGAATAACAAAAGAATGTACAAAAATATTCTACACAGATACAGATTGCTATAATGGTCTGATGATGAAACGGATAGGCACTACAAGAAGAAGAATTGCTATTTCTGTATCTCGTGTTATTTCGTTCCGCCCTAACGATTCGTTCAGAACTTTTCCTTGTAGTTCGTCAAATCTCATTATATTACTTGGTTGCGCATTGAAAAAGCTAGGACTGGAAGTGGTTAATATTTGAACAAAATGCACAATTTTTTAAATTTTTTAAACTGAAGTGTTGTATATGCACAGTAAAATATGTGTGACCTTATCAAAATTGAAAAAAAAATACTATTCATTGGTTATACCTTGGTTTAAAAACCAGCAAAGTCTGAATGATTGTTGGATTCGATGTAGATGTGTTTTTCTTTTTATATTCAAAATTCATAGCTTTAACACATACATGCGTTGTAGGCTACCCCACATCTCTCTATAAAGCGTAAGAGTCTACACGGACGAAAACTACGGCCTAAGTCAGTGGTAGATAGCGTAGAAGGCATCTCCGCTGACGACATACCAAGTCTGTTACCATCTCTTCCGGGTAATTCCGAAGAAGAAGACTCAGTTACCGAATTACCCAACACCAGCCATCAATTACAACATCTAGTCAAGGGTATTTTCCTCAACAAAGGTTAGTTAATTTTTATTCACTACAATACATACAATAAACGCAAAACAAAAACAATTACGTCTATTTCATTTATTACCATACTTCAAATTTGGCAGCTTAAGTCGGGATTGCTCAGGTTTTTATTACCTGTTCACTCACAATACAATTTATATTTCAGTTGATTGCTGTAGTGATGATGTCTTATGTATAATTATTTCTGTCATTCTTTCATGATCTTTTATAAATCAAGCTGCATCAAGATTCAGTCCACATTTCCAAGACTACCCGATCGTCTTTCAATTCGTATTTCTTTAAACAATGAAAATTTGTTTCCTTTATATATTTCTCAACAATCTCGAAGACATTCTCACAGCCTGTAAGAAATAACCAAAAAAAATTGCTTAGAGTAGTTGGGTAATGTTATTACGGGACCACTTTACAAAATGGCGGCCACCACTGACGCCATGATGGCATAGCAACGCCGCCAGCTATCAAAAGGCAAGCCCATAAAATGCGTCAAATTTAAAAATTTGTATTGTGAGATTCAAAATAAAATGGCACACGGTATTTCGGATATTTACTAATGTAGATAATAGGATACACAACATTCTTCTTCTCATTGCGCCGTCTCCTTTGGAAGGTTGGCGATCCAAATGGCAATAATTGTAGTTTTGGAAACTGCTGCGTGAAAGATTTCTGCGGATGAGCGGTCGAACCACCTCCTCAGGTCTTTCAGCCATGAGTTCTGGCGTCTTCTTACTGATCTTTTGCCCTGTACTTTTCCTTCCAGTATAACTTGAAGTAATTCATATCTTTCGCCTCTCAACACATGACCCAAGTATTTATCTTTGATTATTCTTGTAAGTCTTTTTGTTTACACATTCAACGAAGTACCTCAACATTAGTAAGTTTTTGTACCCGTGGAACATTCGTCTGTATATATACATCTCAAAGGCATCTATTCTTTTTTCTATTTCAGAGTCCATTATCCAAGTATCACAGCCATACAGTAAGACAGAAAAAACGTAACATCTAATCATTCGGATTCTGAGCTGCAGACTAAGGTCTGATCTTGTAAAAAATGTTTTTTATGCTCATGAATGTTTTCCTTACTTGTTCTATTCTTGATAGTATTTATTTTTTCGGATTACACTGACTATTGATATTTGCTCCCAAATATTTTATGGAATTTACCTGTTTTATTATTTGACCCTTGGCATACACATTTACGTTTATTGGTGTCATTGAAAATACTAAAGTTTTAGTTTTGGAAACGTTTAGATGTAAACCGAACATTTCGCCGTGGTGAACATTTCGACCTGGCATTTATTATATTTTGTAGTTCTTGTGCGTTGCTTGCTATTAAGACAGTATCATCAGTATATCTGATGTTGTTTATTCTGATTCTGTTAATCTTAATTCCGTCTTGGACCTGGTCTAATTCTTATCTGAATATACAGTGTAGGTAAAAGTTTATGTTTATGGTATGGTAAAATTTAACAGGATATCTAACGCAGATATAAAATCATATTTTCAGCGAATAGACAAAGATAACAATCATATTTCCCCTTGGTCTCCCCTGCATAAATATTTTTAACACTCATTGCTCATTCGTGAGACGAATAGTTCCGGTCAGAGATATTTTACATATTCTCTGGTTCCGATCCTTATATACCTAAAAAACTAGAGGTGGATCCTCTCGTTTTTTAAATTTTTATCGGAACCGTTTTTCGTAAACTGTAACTAGTTGATTGTTTACCAGTATTCAAATTAGCGAGTACACAAACATATTGGCTATTATCATTTATGTGTATAAATATTATAAGATATATTTCTTATAACTTGAAAAATAAATTAAACAATACAAATAGTACTTACATTTACATTACACATTATTAAATCGCGAATCGTCTAAATTGATATTTAAAAACAAGTTTTTCCACTTTTCTTGTTAACCGTGTTCTTCTTTTATTTAAAATTAAACCAGATTTTAAACATGTGTTCACAAGGAAAGATTTTGTTACAATACTACAATATTTTATGAATATAGTGGTTAAGTTAGGTTATACATGACGATGGTTTTTCCACCACGGTAATGGACAGTTCCAACCTCCGTTCGAAATTTTTTGTGGGTAATATATCATCAGACATATACATGTCGACTTCTTTTATATCTCTCGATACAGGTGTATGTTTAGATGAATCACGTCCAATTAATTCATCAAAAATACACCATGGACTTAAGTCATCTTTATCAGTTTCTTTTTCTTGTACTGGTTGATTTTCAAGATTTACTAAACTTATGCAAAGACTCGTTTCATCCGTTTTCCATAGGTGAAGAACCAGCTTTTAAAAAGTTTGCAGGATGGATTCCTGGATATAAACTGCCAACAAGAAAAACTGTCAGGTTCATTACTTCAGGAATGTAATGTCAAAACTGATTTGATAATAGATAAAATAAAAAGTCCTATTTTCGACAATTCTGCAAAAACACATTTAAAAAAAAAGTACCTTATCTTCAGAAAGGCTTTTAAAGTATTAATTACAACATAAAAAAGTTCCCAAAGGGCCAATCCAAGACGTGGAAACTAGGTAGAACTTCACCTATTACATGTTAGAAAGAATGACCGAGTTAGAAGAGGCAATCCGTTCCATATCGGTATTAAATAATACAGACTTAGACTTAGACCAAATCTAAATAAATAACACTGGATTATTTGTTCTCAGCTTTCCCCAATTTTACGGCCGTTTAAAAAATAACAAGTACAATGAGTGACCAAAAATACTTGAAGGGTAGTTCAGTGATTGTTATGGTACGCTGCCTGCAAGAATCTTGCAATAAAATTTTAGCAAACGGTAAATTTAGCAATAAGGTTTAGCAAACCTTACATCCATAGTATCCAACGCAGTACAATTACTAATATCGGGTTAGCAAAAAGATTTAAAGGGATAGAACAGAGTGGCACATTGTTATTATGTACATTTATGGATTCACCATTTAAAGTGCAGGGTTTCCTGATAAAAATGAAGATAAAAAAATTAAAGAAAAAGTTAAGAAGCTGGTTAAGAAGATTGTACTATTGAAAATCAACCAGTACAAGAAAAAGAAACCAATAAAGATGACTTAAATCCATGGTGTATTTTTGATCAATTAAATGGAGATGGCTCATCTACACGTACACCTGAATCGAGAGTCCATTACATCGGTGGAAAAACCATCCCCATGTATATCCTAACTTAACCACTATTAGTATTGTAAATCTGAACACATGTTCAAAATCTGGTTTAATTTGAAATAAAAAAAGAAGACGGTTAATAAAAAGTAAAGTTGAAAAACTTATGTTTTTGAATGTCAATTTAGACTATTCGCGATTTAATAATAACGTGTAATGTAAATGTAAGTACGAGTTACTATTTGTATTGTTTAGTTTATTTTTCAAGTTATAATAAATAAATCATTAGTTTCTTTCACTTCAATAAATATACACATAAACGATAATAGCCATTATATTTGTTTATGTAGGTACTCTCTTACTTAAAACTACTTTTAAACAATCATAGTTACTTGTTTACAAAAATTTAAATTTTTAAATGCATTCCTTTTTTTTGGAATCCTGAGAAAACTAACAAATATTTTTGAAAAATTTAAATGCAGAATAAATGATTACAATATTACCGAGGGCCGAAAGTCCCTTAGAATAAACAAAAGGTTTTTGAATGAGATATTTGAAATTAAAAATCACACTAATTTTTTTTTTCACCTCTATAACTTATTAAAATAAACATTATAGAAGTTTTCAGGGACTTTCGGCCCTCGGTAATAATGTATTGTTTCATTCTGCGTTTAAATTTTTCAAAAATATTTATTAGTTTTCTCAGGATTCGCAAAAAATTAATCCATTTAAAAAATATTGGCTCGAAATTTTGTGCCTACGCTCTTAATGATAAAACTACCACGACCCACCTCTACTACTCGTTACTCGGTCGGCCAAACCAGACCAGACCAGACCGACGTTGCCAAATAATTATTGTGTATGAATATTTTTTAATGTGGCGTTATTGTATGCAGTTTATTATTTCATATTGAGAATAAGGCACAATGTGAGTTTAAAATAAGCTTATTTTGATGTTTAGATTTTTAATTCGGAAATCATACTTAAAATACGAAACATTAATAAATTTTATTTATATAAAACGATTTCCGAAGTGGAAATCAAAATGTTATATTACACTTGTTGTAAAGTAAACTTGTGGCATATTCCCAATAAAAAAACAGTAAGCTGCCATTTAAATCAATTTCGCCCAAATTGGATTATCTTAGAACATTGTTAAATGCAAAAAAAACAACAGGTCAAATAAATCCAATAAGTTTGGCAACGTTGAACTTCCCCTTTTTTATTATTTCCAGGCATGCATGTTTGGCGATATAAAGGGCGGAACTAATATACCTCTCTCTTTCTAAACAGCTGTTTCTCACTCCATCTCACGTAAGGTCCATACCGACTATAAACTTTTTCCTACACTGTAGACTTCGAATACAAATTAAACAATAGCGGTGATAAGACGCAACCCTGTTTCACTCCTCGTCGGATTTGTATATTTTCGTATGTTGTGTGCTCTTTTCAATTGTTGCCGTTTGGTGTCAGTATAGTTCTAAGATAATTCGCAAGTCTTGTTCGTCAACTCCAGTTGTTCTTAGAATTTCGATCATCTTTTGATGGTTAACGCAGTCAAATGCTTTTCGATAGTCAATAAAACATGCATATTTATCTTCATGCATGTCTCTGCATCTTTGCGTTAATACATTTAAAGCAAAAAGAGCCCCTCATGTTCCCAATCCGTTTCGAAATCCGAATTGAGTGTCGCTCATCTGGAACTCGCACTTTTTGTTAATTCGTGTGTGGATAATTCTGAGAAAAGTTTTAAGGACATGAGACATCAAGCTTAATATTCGATAATCATCGCATTGTGAGGAATTCGATTTTTTGGTAATGCTACCAATGTTCATTTTAGCCAGTCTGTTGGTATTTTACCTGTGTCATATATCTTATTGAATAGTGCTGTTAAGTCTAAGCTTTTACTTTCGGTATCTGCAATTAGTTTTAGTATTTCGACATTGATCTTGTCTGAACCGGTGGCTTTTCCATCTTTCTAAGATTTTACTGCGTGAATCACTTCTTCTTTGGTTATTTCTGGGCCTTTTTCATTTATTCGATTATCTGTGGATGGTGAAGAACAAGGTCAATGGTCGTCAAAAAGAGTTTGTATGTAATTTTTCCATCTCTCTAGTTTATCTTCTGTACCCATAATTGTTTCGTTATTACCAGTTTTTAATATTGTTGCTTGTCTCTTTTTGTGTATCCCTGTCATTTCTTTTACTTTTTTATAAATATTAAAGGTGTCGTATTTTTCCTGAAGTTTTTCGATTTCTAGGCATTTTGTTGACATCCAGTTTTCTTTCGCCTCCCTGCACTTTTTTTTAATGATTTTATTGATTCGCATGTATTCTATTGGGCTTGTTTTATGTTTTCGTTAACTAAATAACAAGATATTTATTTTGCATTGTCCACCGTTGACTCGCCGTTTTATTCATGAATACATTTGATTAAACTACTCTTACATTAGTGGCAGCCCTAGTCGAGTTTTTAATAAAAATGAATATCAAAGGACGAAATAAAACAAAGTAGTCTCCAAAAAAATACAAAATGAGGCTAAAATATAATGTAAATATTTACATACAATGTATCATATAAGATATAATATCTAATAAAGGATTAAATAAGTAAAGCACTTTTTCTTGATTGATTGCTACGTGTTTGCTACATGGAGATATATTTATTAATCAATAATTTACAGGTCGACCCAGAAGAGCGAAGACCAGAGCTCCCACCCGACCGGTGGTAAATCCTCCCGACACCACAGACTCGGTGTCTCAAGATTTGGTCGAAGGTTTGGATTCTTTCTTCCGTCCTGGATCAGTTACACCGACATCGGATGATTGCCATTCGTTCCACACTGCCGGAAGTCCAAATCACGATTTTTCATCGCCGACTCTCAGCGAAGATCGCAAAACTCCGAAATTGAGCAGAAACTCGCCACTTTTAAGAGGTGAATACTTTTATTATTTATTACTTTAATGAAAAAAAGGCAGAAACTAGCAAAAAATAATGTTTATGGTGCCTACTGAATAGAGACTCTAAGAAATATGTGAAAAATGGAAAATATAACATTTGTGTCGTATAATTTTAGGTTTAATGACACCTACACCCAGATCTCGGTCCATAGACAATCTGGAAAAGTTCTCTCCTTCGTCTTTGAGGAAAAACAACGATACCACTTCGTCTCCATTGACTAGAAGACTGACGGGCGAAAGCATAGTTTCCAGAGACAGTAGTGATGGTAGCATTGCAGCAGAATCCAGTTTCGACCATTCACCTGGAAGTACATTATCTAAAGGGATGTCTTCCGATGGATCCAAAGGTAAGAAAATGATTTTATGCATGAGAATTAAAATGCACATACGATATTTAAAGTAGTCTTCTCAAAAAATCTTGGAGAAAATACCTTACTGCATTTCGATGTAGAGACAGTATCTTGGAAAGAAATAGAGAAAGGAGTAAGAACGGTGTGAGAAGTTTATGATGACACTATTATGTTTATTTGTTATTTATTAGTATAGATTTTATGATTACTTACCTATACTACTATATAACAAACACCCAAATGGTAGAACAGAATATTTCAAAGGAAATGTCTAGGTCTAGCGAAATTTTTTATTAGTGTTAAAATTTGTAAAGTGGCCATAAAAAATTATTGTGAGAATGGAATACAAGCGATACTCACGAAATTAGAAAAATAGAGAAAATAAATTGAAACGTTTTTACAAGTTACACTAAACAGAGTGGACTTGCAATGTTGCCAGATTTATCATTTTTCTGATATCATTAGTCACTTTGGTTCTTACGTACAACACTCTATATGGTATAATTATTGGAATCCTCACTTCAATACGAGTTCAACCCTACAGTGAGTGATCAAATTATCAGAACCAGTTAGTAAAGTTCATTTGTTTTACAAAAAGTGTATATAATTGAGCTGTATAATATATTAATGTGTTTGTTTCCATTTGATTATCTTGTAACACTTTATGAAAGTACAATAAATAGTCTGGCAACAGTGGCAATACAGCGGGCGTGGCAATATTTGACTCAGATGCCATTGTTTGTTAGAGTACATTCGTTCAGCACATTCCCATCTGTAAACAAAAGCACGTGTTGATATTCGCCCTCTCATTCGTCAAGAGGCTATTAAATATAATTTATTGCCTTAAGCCAGACGGATTACCATTTTACAGGTACAAACTTGTTCAGTCTGTTCAAATTGTAGCGTGTTGGTTTTTAAGTTACTATATTGTGTGTTATATGTTATAGTTATTGTTAAGTTATTTACTATTCGTATTTTTTACTATTTTTTTTAGAGTTTAGTTTACTACTATTTTTTAGAGTTTAGTTTAAGTATTTAATATTGTTTTATAGTGTGTAGTGAACTTTTAGTATCCAAAAACAAAGTTCGTACTTATTTGTTAATCAAAAGTCAAAATAGCTTGCGGTAATTACCCTTTCACTACCAGCGGTACGTGAGCGTACCAGCAATTGTAATCTCTTAAAATCCCAAGAACCTTTCTGCTTAAATATTAAAAAGTTTTTATTGTTTTTCTGTTTTAAAATAATTATTAAATTATTATAGAGTTCACAAAATAGTCTGTAGATGTATTTTTACAAAAAATATATTGGTGGTTCTCACAAGTACCACTGGGAAAATCTGTATGTCAGTAAAAATTTTAGGCATAATACTTTTATTTAAAAAAAAAATACATTTTTCAGTAATCTATTCCATGATACTCAGCAAAACAATTCTTGCACTAATACACAAAAATACTTTGCACTGAGAACAGGTTGAAGTAGGTTTTGACTGGATAGCTTTTGAGCTGTATACTTCGCATCTACCGCGTCTTTCCACAAACTTTGGCCAGTGACTTTCAATTTGAGTTAGCCTTATTCCAGAAGGCACGCTATAATCATAACGTCGTTTCTTTGATGGAGCACCTGTTGAAGGAACAGATTTTCTTTTATTTTTCTGTGTGGAGATAGGTAGCAAAGGCTTCTGGTAAGATCCCTTCGAAACTGTAATAAGTTGGTGGGAGGTTCATCTAACACTTTGTTTGCAATTACAAACGCATTTACGAATGTAATTTCCATATACGCCCAAAAGATACGTTGCCACCATTTTCTGGACCTCCGATCTTAACCATAGCATTGTCGCAATTGATCATGGTAGTCTACACCTCCCATTGATTTATTATAGTCTTTAATAATAGAAGGAGCATCTACTTCGGTTATTATACCATCACGTTGTTTTCTTTTGACTTTGGTAGCTTCGGAGCCGTGGAAATTTGAAGCAATACTGACCACACGATTATCTTTCCATTTGAAATATGATATCCCTGTGCTAGAAATTCTAAAATCGTATTCACCCTTTTTAAGCATTTTGTGTTCTTTCATTTAAGGTGGTAAATATTTGCGATTAGTTCATATCGTTCCACATGCTAATGTATTCTCTTCCTTTAACTTCTCTAATAATTTCACTGTGGTATAAAAATGGTCAAAGTAGATAATTTCTTTTTGTTCCTGTCTTCTGTTAAATATAGCACTACTCTTTCGCCTAAATTATACTCTTTGTATTTGTTATCAATCTTCTCATTTTTTCCCTGATAAATTTCAAACTTTTTAATAAAACCACTCATATCACTATAGCACCATATCTTGTGTCCCCTTTTAATAGGTTTCATCGGATTATATTGCTTTAGTGCAAAGCGCCCTTTGAATTTGACGATAGATTCATCGAGATACATTACTTGTTCCCCACAATAATTTATAAACTGGTATTTAACGCACTTATTAACGGTCTTACATGTTTTATGTGTAAAAAAGATAAAATAGCTTGCAATCTATTCCTAGGCATTGTTTCTGTCACAAGTGGAACTGAAAGGTCATCCTGCGTTGACCAATAATCAGGAATTTATGGCAGAGATGATACCCCATCAAAAAATTAATTCCCAAAAATGCAAGAAATTCTTCTTTAGCCATATTTAACTGTTTTCCTTTTTGTACTGTATAAATTAGATTGAAACGTTATAACCTCGGGAACATTTCCCAGCAATTTTATAAAAATATCAAGAGAATTTTGACCCTCATCAAAATAGTTTTCTTCCCAAACACATTTTGGTTTTACATAAGTAGGAATTTCTGTAGCCTTTTCAATTTTGTTCCACTGCCTCAAAACTTGTTCTTCTGCACTAGTCAGTATGAGCTCATTAACAGCTTCTCCTGATTCGTGAACTTCAACACTGTGATCGTGAACATTGTCAGTAAATTTAGGTATTTCACAACTATCATTTTCGATTTCATCATTCAAGTTAGATTTTACGTTTCTATTGGATTCCACTAGTAGCTGACTTTCCGGAAAATCTTCCTCATTTTCTGATTCTACATCAGTGTCTTCATTGTTGTCAAGCGGTGGTAAAAATGCATCCATATCCTCATCATTTTCAATGATTTGTGCCAACTCGTCGTATGTCAGGACTTTCTTTGCTAACGTGCGGTTTGCAGCCATACAAAAAATTAAAAAAAAAAAATCATTATAATTGGCTCCTACATTTTTGTGTACATTTTTTTTGTTGTTTAACAAGCATTCTTGTGAAAAAAAAAGAGTTAAATTACTAAATATGGAAAATCTATCGTGGCATCAAAACAACACAATTAGTCCCAACGGTACGTAGAAGTACCAGTTAAACTTAAGTGTTTTTTTATTACTTACGTGCCTATATATTGTGAACAAAATTGTATGTGTGAAGAAAATAAAACTTACCTACTGATAGTCTCCAAACAAAATCGTAACGACGAAGAAATCAAAACAATAAATATCAAATAATGTATAAAAATATAACCTCAAATACGTTTACACTGACAAATCTCAACGGTCACTGACGTATCAAAAACCCGCCAAAAGCAGATCGTGTGACGTTGCAATAATTTAAAAGTGCTAGACAAATATGTACCTTTGGCAAAAATAGACTAAGTTGTTGACTAATATTTTATTGTAACGTCGATTTATTTTGATGGTACTTACGCGTACTGCTGGTAGCTAAAGGAAATATCTTTTGAGATAGGTTGTAACCTCGGAAATCATTTTTGGATGGTGCTAGAGATAACCAATGTAGACACTGCGGACGGCAGCCAGATGGTTGGTGGAGAGCGAGTCGTGGGTTCGAAACTAGCTTTTGGAATCGGGAATAGGTCCAACGGACGAAATAAGTAAAGATAGGATAAGAGATATTAGAAAATATACAGAAATAAACAAAAAGATAGATGGGTAAAATTACCAAAGATACGATAAGATAGAAACAGGGCGCCACTCAATTTTTTGGGGTTAAGGAGAAAATTAAGAAACCTTAGAAAAGAAAAGAGATAAGGAAAGATTTAGGTTCAGAGATCAAACCCAAGGAAAGATACCAACAGTTAATTATCAAATAAATTTGGTCAACGCAATAATAATAAAATAATAAGTATATTACTTACCTACGAAACTTAATCAGCCTGATCTTTCAACTGGTCAAAAGTATGGTAATATTTACAGATAAAAAGCAAATATTCAGAGTTACTATTTTATCGGGGAACTTGTTAGGAGCCGACAAATAAAATACATACATAAAACAATAACAATATATTCAACAACAAAATTCTGACGCTGCTGAATGCAACACAAGTAATAAAAATACACCAACACCTATAAAATGGTGGTATACACATAAAAATAAGCAGTAATGTAATTAGCAAATACCTTTACAAAGATATATAAGACAATCATTTACAAATCAAGGGTTATGGGCGTACCTCGAGATATTACAGTAAAAAAAAATGAATAAAAATTATAACAAACACAAAAGATAACAAAAATTAATTAAATATAAATTTACAAAAATTAAAAAAGGTTACAGAAATGAAAACATAAAAATTTAACCAAACCGCACTTGGCTAAGTGGATTAACTATCTCGCACTATTATTTAATGATAAACTGAGAGTAATGTTCATAATTATTATTTATTGAAATTTCTTGAATTTATTGAAATGTTCTTTAATTTGAATACAAAAATCAGCAATCTAAAGGTGAAGACATGGAGGAACTTTAGATACGTCCAGATAATGGAGGATGATATGTTACCATACCATATTACTCCGCCCAGATAATTTGAAGATAATGATTACTTACAGTAAATCTTGACGACTGGTTCACTAGGTCCTTCACTGAAGTTATATACTGTACTTAATACTTTACATGTATCAAACACTTAATTTAATTACCATTAAAGGTACTTTAAAACTATATATATAATTTAATATAGTATAAGAAAAGAAAACAA